GTGGTCGTCACTAGAAATAGCAACAGCGATACGATTAACAAAAGCAGCTATTGGGAAAGAGACGGTTAAACATTATATTATAAAATTTCAATGCAATTTATTGACACTTAAATGTATTTTATTGGCTTGCTTGGAAAATCAACATAGATGAAATCAAACACGTAAAAATATCAGCATATTGGTTTAAAAAGTATTATTTCTGATACTGTTTAGGTGTTAGACATAATATATCATCATTTTTTATAACTACATCAGAGTGAAGATGTCAAATATTTACACAGTTTTCTTTGTTTTATATAAATGTGTTTTAATATACTGTTACACCTCTGGTCGTTTGTTAATTTCCCGTACAATTTCTTTCGGATGAAACTTTAGCGATACAAGTCCTTTCTTAAATAAAACTAGTTTATTCTTTCTCAATTCAACTTTGTAATACACTTAATTTCCACAGTCACTTTAAACACACGCTATAATTCACAATGATTCACACACTTACTTACAGTCACTACCGCGCTTGACTCAATTGTCCCTCTTTATCTCTGCATGTCTGCAATTCAATTCCGATTGATTTGTCTCACGTTATCTGGCGCACTTATATACAGGAATAGAGGGCGTCTAGCACATACTGGATTATTCGTGATGTTCCCCAATCCTTCTAGAATATCATGACGTGTTACCAGCGTCACGTGACTACCGCTGTCGTAACAATACAATTTATAATAACAGTTATTACAAACAGCTACTACAAACAATGATTTATATACAAAAGTTCCACAAAGTTACAAGCAATACAAAGTCTTCTTTCTAGTTTGGAACTTCCTTGATGTCTTATCGAGGGCTCACGATAAGCGAGTTCATTTCGAGTTGATGTAGGTACAATTCACTTAATAGGGAGCTAGCTAGCTTTGTATTCTTCGCCGATTTTTTCCACCGATGAAGTTAGGTAATGTTTTTGTAAAGGTACTAATGTCCGATGTGAATCCACTGAAGTTAAATGGTTTGTAATGTTCGAAATATGTATTTAACAGTATAATTTATGTACATTTCTAGATATAAATTAAATGTAAACAAACATCGATATTAAAATAAATATAAAATAATAAATCCGTCACAATATGTATAACTGTTGATAAAGTATATCGAATTGTTTCAAGTTTGAGGCTTACTCTTTATTAGATTTAATGTGAGAGGAAGGAAAATTACCTGTTTATAAAATCTGTAAGCTGAATAAATCAGCCGAGTTAGAAGGATGTAACATTTGAAATTGGTTTTAATAACAAAATTCAAAATTGAAACTACCTCATCCTGTAAATTTATCAAATCTCGGTTAATGCATTCCTTTAAAACTCTGTACTAATGACTGAAGGTTCGAGATACGTATTATATAACTCAGTAACGTTCCAGGGGTACAGATCCTTGTTTTAAACTGAGTCAACATATTCCACGGACTATGTTATGTAGCATGGAAATTGATCTTGAATATTCCAAAGCCTACTTGTCAATTCACTTCTGACTTGTTGAAGTGACGGGTGTTAAATAGAAATAGCAGTCTTTTTACAGCTATATGATATAGTTGTAATGAAATTCTGGACGTTTTCTAAAGTTTAGTTCCTAATGATAGCTTTATAAGAATTGGTTAGCATGTTTTGTACATATTTACATCTATTTTGGTTTCATAAAGCTAGATCATTTCGTTACCCTTTGTTATCTGTAATAGCCAATTAAATTTCAATTTAATCTAAATGTGCAGAAAGACTCAAATTCGCTTTATACCCACATTGTATTGTAGAGTTCTTTGACAGTAGTTCACATTCTGCTCTCAAAATGCGAGGGTTATTTCAATGTGTTGGTTGAGCTTGCATGTAGTATTCCAAATTTTTATTTGAGCCATTTTTGCAGGTTGATTAAAGTCCAGAAGCAAATCCCACAAGAATAAACTTTATCGATAAGTTCTAAGAATTAAGAAACATTTTATATTTTATTAGAAATGGTATTTATAAATGCATGGACATTGAAAACTGTCGTTCTTCTTATAGCTTTGTAAATTACTTCGTTTTATATCTGTATCTTCAGTGAGAATCAAAAAATATGCGAGTGTGTTCGTATAGGTTCGTGTGGTATTAAATTATTTACCTGTAATATTAGATTTTATTAATATACCAATTTGTTTGTTTGTAGTTATGCACAAAGCTACACAATGGGCTATCTGTGCTCTGCCCACCACGGGTATCGAAACTCGGTTTCTAGCGTGAAAAGCCCTCATACTTACCGCTGAGCCACCGGGGGCTTAATATACCAAAACGGTTTCGAAAGGAAATGTCTGGACTGCGTCATTGCGAAAAAAACTTTGTTATGAATTTCCGTTATTTGACTGTAAAGTGATTCATTGCACATTCAAACATAATATAACAACTATTGTAAGTTGTTTTGGCTATTGAGTTTCGTAAGAATTAGGTCTACTCGTCAACTTTGATCAAATAACGTTTTTTTTTGTTTGTTTTTGTTTCTAATAACTTGTGGTTTGTGTTCCACTGAGTGAGTGAAGACTACAGGCAGCGACGCATGGTCCCCAGTTTATCATGAAGAGGTCAAGGCAGTAAATAAGAGCAAGAAGTTTGGTCAGTGTAAATGTACAAAAAAAAGCCTTGACATTAGAATGTGAATAGTGGTCTTTGATAAGGCAAGACCTAAAAACTTTTAACAAATCCCGGGTGATATGGTTTTGTCAGAAAGTAGCGTCAAGAGCATTAGCTCTGTTTGTGTTTTTTCTAGTTCCCAGTTTGAAAGGGAACATGCACTACATTTTGTGCTTGCTCATTGCGTATGTTTAATGCCTTATATCATATTATCAGCACATTTTGAGATAAAATGTAATAATGTGACTAACCGTATACGTGTTTAGGATGTAACGTAGGCTCGTACATTATAACCACATGTAGGCAAATATAAGACAAACACGTGATTCATTACATTTTGATCCATAAATTTAAAGAGGCTGTGCTTTTACAACTTACATTTCAGTCTGTTCGATAGAACTAAAGAAGTAAGCAGGAGCGATATTGGGTAACATAAATACGCCCGTCCATAGTTGAAGAATGCACCAGTTTTGTGTGACCTCTCGTAAGTCGGGGATGGCAAAAAGTATGTACATAACGTTAAAAAGTTATTTTACAGCTTCACGAGGTTGAATTTCGATATTATCCCAAATTATGAATATAGTGTTTTGGTACAGAGCTTACTTTGCTAATTTTTGGACTAAACAATGCATTGGATCTTCAGATGAAAGATGTTTAAAAGTAAATAGCTGAAGCTGTGTACGTAACGCGGTATAAGGCTAGAATAAATATTAGTGACTAATTCTGTGCAGACTTTGCTTTACAAGCTATTATTTATATTTTATCTTAATATATATTTCAACATAAATATCTGTTTAGTGAAATGTGTTTTTATCTTGTTCCAAATGTAGATACACCAAGAGAAGGAGGACCCACAACAACAGAAAACTTTTTTCTAAAGGTTAGTGTTCCATAAGCTACATAACACACTACTCCCAACCTACTTTAGAATTTTTGGGACTCAGAGTTACGTGATAAGCAGTCTTTCGTGTGACTCATTCCACATTTAGTTTTATAAGACGTATGTTTATCAGTTATAGTTCGATTTTAATATTTATAAAAAATGTTGAGAACTTTCAGGACAAACCTTGCTGGTCTTTTTTATGCGATCTAATAAATTTACTAGTAGGTACACACACTTGTACCTATTAAACTTCAAGCGGAAGGATATTGAAATATACATAAGTGATTACAGGATAACTGAGTGCAACATTCAACAAAGTACCAAAATTTGGGGGTAGGTATACCTTAAAAACCTTAAAAGTCATTCGTGATACCCCAAAATACACAGAATCAATAGAAGAAAAAAGTTAGTGTTTTTCATTTACCCCTGGAGAAAGAAAGTGCTTTTATTACTTCTTCTATGGTTGGGTGAGGGAGACTTTGATTGATAGTGGGCCTTTCGATGGAGTTAATCGCCGTTTGTGATTTGCTACTAACATTTTCCATCTCTGTTCATATATATATATATATATCCATCTCTGTTCATATATATATATATATATATATCCATCTCTGTTCATATTTGTCTGATAGAATGAATAACCATTCCTTCTGTAAAGCACCTCTAAGTTTATGAGATTTCCAGGTATTCTGTTTTCATTTCAACGTTGTTCATCCAAAATTTTGCAGAGTAGCTCATTTAGATTCAGGACAAGGTTCTAAGCAGTCCAAGATAAATTCTAAACATTGTTTGTCTCAAACCGCTGCTAGCCACGCTTAACTATAATACCGAGAGAAGCATATTATTTCTCCATGAAATTCCATCAATGCAGACCGTGTAGTAGTGGGATTGACCGTCACATTATAACGCCCCATGGTTGAAAGGGCGAGCATGTTTGGTGGGACGGGGATTCGAACCCGCGACCCCCATATTGCGAGTGAGGCTCAGTCTAAAACAACTAAAACAAGCCAACATCTTTATACCACTTCTGCTATACTTCATTGCTGAGGTGTCACGATAACAGTCAAACTATTATCCAGTTTTACCCTCAAACCCATACCCGTCCGTCCATCTGTAGTCAGTAATGACCAGCGACCTTGTATACTACATTGAATTGCATTACTGAAGTTGTTATAAGTTATAATTCTACTCAGTGGTTTAAAATGAAATTGGTGATCGAAAATCTCTCCTACCATATGAATTAAATAATGTATATATTTTATGTAATTGAGGAAATGCTTTATTGTTGATTACCCTGAAACTTGTCATATCAGCTTAGGCTATCTGATAGTAATTAAACAAGTAAACAAAAACTTTTCAAAAAAAAAAGTAAATGTAGAGATGGCTAATATCAATCCTTCGAAAACAACGTAAACAAGTTAGCAGAGATGTTATTTGCATCATCCCTACATAATAGCACAGGCACACAGTTTAGTAGTATGTCAACAGACAAAAATAAGATAAATTAAACTCAAGTGTGATTGAATAGTTAAATATATTGCAATATGTTAATTATTGTATGTATAATTATTATGATGCAAATGCCATCCCTACTATCTTATTTGTATTGTTTTTGAGGGATTGATATTAGCCATCCTTACATTTACTTTGTTTCTTCACTTATTTGCTTGATTTTTAATGCAGTGTTCCAATAGACATGGGAAGGCTGTATTTATAACCAAATTCTAAATACAATGAGGCTCCAACTGTAATATTTATTGTTTATCTATCATTGGCTGGAAATTCCGGTTTCACTCTGTATTTAAGCTTTTTAAATGAACACCAAATGTTTGTAAGAAAGCTAACTTCAAGGGATAAGGATAACATCGTCTACACTAGAATTATGATTTTTTTAATCACTACTAATTAATAATACTTATAAAAGAGGATACTCCGTTTGAAACTATGTCACCTCAATAAAATTGGTTGACACCATTGTTTTGGTTTTTGAGTTATCATGTAACAAAAAGAAGCAGAAGAAAGAAAAAAAATTCAAAATTTTTGCTATAAAATTTACAGATATTCCAAGAACTTGTGACTCAGTCATTACATAGATATTGTTATAACAGGAAACACTGTATAGTATTGTAAAGTTTTGATGACCTATTGAGGATTTATTTAAAATACCATTTCGACGAGCAATCCCAGCCATCCCTACACAGACAGTGCTACCACCTGCCTGATACAGGCAATTTCGTTATGACAATAACTTGGAATTCAAAAGATTCGTTCATTTTAATAGCTTGTTTGAACTGTTTGCTGTTGGTTGTACCGAAAGCGAAACGGACGTCTTGCATCCTTTACGTCAATTAAAGTAAAAAGATGCTTTATATGAATAATTCGTTTTTGTTATAGCTAATTATAACATTTTAGAATAGAAATTTTAGCCCCCCCCCCCAGTAGCACAGCGGTATGTCTGCGGACTTACAACACTAGAAACCGGGTTTCGATACCCGTGGTTAGCAGAGCACAGATAGCCCATTGTGTAGCTTTGTGCATAAATTTAAACAAACAAACAGAATTTTTAAAATACCTCCTCAGTTGCTAGGATATGTTATTAAACTTCAAGGGTGTGATAAATTTGCCTTGAAGAATTTAATTTAATAAAGATAAGGTAGAAAATCTTTCAAAAGTGATTTACACCACAGAACGTAAGTTAATTACCGTAGAAGTCCAAAACCTCTGTGTTCCAGCACATTTATTTAAATAACCGGGAAAAAATAAATGATTTTACCATAACTATAGTATAACAAATTTTGTAATAAATTAAGTATAGAACAATTATTTATCACAAATTATGTAGTAAGTCGGGATTTAATGTACTCTGCTGAACCCTACATTAATTAAAACATGCTTATGAAAATAAAATTTAACAGTGCATCTGCAACAGTAGTTAGTGTAGTTGAGGTCAACATACTGTTTGCTCTCTTTTAACACAAAACGAGCATCAGACCATTTTCTTACCATGTGATGTATTTCAGATACAGTGAAACAAAATAGCTAGCAAGACGTGGTAATTAATCTACAGAAATACCTTATTATAGTTGTGATAAACAACAACAACTTTTGTATCCTTACAGGATGACTTTTGATCGTGAGACAAAGGTTCTTTTATTTATACATTTCTGATCAGTATGATCGTGCCATTTAAGTTATTTCACAAGTTTCATCAAATATGCTAAAAAAAGTGTTCATTGACCAAAAATAATATTTTCTTATAAACTTAGGTTATATTTTACTACTGTTATCTGGAAGTTTCGTGTTAGAACCTGAGTTGAACATTTGTATAGCATTTCTATGTAACATGTGGTGATATCAAATGAGTAACTATATGTTTACTAGCAGAGATCCGTAAAACATTTGCAGTCAAATTAGTGTCTTTATTGCAGCAGTGTTTCTTTAAATACAGAATTCTAACCGCAGACACCAAAATCTATAAGTCCACATGTCTTAGGCCTAACGCTAGTTAAACCTGTATTAAGTAGGGCCTATGTTCGATAAAGCCATGAATTAACACTTTAACTCGTGTACGTTTTTTGCTTTGGGTTAGTTAAGGATAAACTTCACCATACTTAATATTATCAATAAATAAACTTATAATGTTATTCTACAACCTAACGATAGACCTTTTCAAAAACTTTAATAAGCTTTTAATATGTTGTTGTACAAAATGTCTACTAAAGTATATTTACATGCGCCTTTTATTTACCGCCACTGAAATAAAGTGCGCGTGAATTTTCAGGACGAAAAACTGAGTATTATTCCCCAAAAGGCCGCCTAGAGAGGTCACCTGTTCTAACCATTCGCACCAATATAGAATAGTGTGTTGTCTGTCTGTCAGTCAGTAGACACTAAAATTACGTCACATAAGGGACGCTTAACGTTGCAAATTGTACTGTCGTGACGTCAGTAAAACGTGGCATGCCTTGAATCACGAAAAGACTTATGCGCTCTGTACGCAACAACACACCACAACATATGAACTTTCCAAGGCAAAAAATAAAAATGTTTGTTACTCATAATTTTGGATTAATTTACTCTTCAAACAGAACACTTTCGGGGACCCTGTGCAAGTACATTTAGTATATTTTTACTGTTGACTCGTGCACCTTAGTTAGCTCACAAAATCTACAATAATACAGGACAAATCGAAACCATCTAATATAATATTTAGAATTTATCGACGTTATTGATCTGTAGAAGAATGGAAATTCATTAATGTTGATGTAAAGCATTTACAGATGTCAAGTTTTGCTTAACTGCTACTTAGACGTGTTACCGTCTTCTACACAAATGCATCAAATCGGAATGTCCTTGACTATTTCAAACGATTTTAATTGTTTTTGTTTTTAGATTAATCAAAGTACTGTTTTGATTTTAACCAAACACGTGTAAAGTGCAATAGTAAACCTTCGAAAGAAAAACGTACACTGTTAAAATAATTTTCTATTTTATGGATACATCGTGTATCAAATATACATGTTAGTGTTACTTAATTAGAAACTGCTGGAGATGCTTGCTATTTGTAAAAACAAGAAATCTGACAAAGGGGATCTGTTCAATTTCATACACGTGTTTACATAACCATGACTGGCCTTATACATTTCTACCTAGTTTTGTTATCTAGAGATGTTGAAACTGCCACAAAGTAACAGTAGCAATTTTCACTAAAAAAAACAATATCTTTGACGTTTCAAGCTTTCTGGTTATAAAAATATTGAAATACATTTTTTTAGTGATTCAAATAGATGCATAATAGTTTCATTTTTCTCTGTGTATTTGTGCATGTGTTGGTCTTAATCGTTTTGCATTTTTACATAATCTGTAAATAATAGTTCATAAACTGAGTGTTTTATGTTTACAGATCATGAATGGAACTGATACACAGACAAAATCAAAAAAAGGTAAAAATTCAGTCAAAATATAACTGTTAATAAAGTACATTTTCGTGGCTTTAGAAAAACTTAGGCTTCGAGGTTTATTTACTTTTGTTGTATAAATTCGTAAATATATTTGTAAACTATCATTGTTTTAAGAGAAAGAATTCGTTAATTTAATATACTAGCGTATAGCCCGTCAAAAATGACTGGGCAAGTACTACCACTCCCACCACATAGTATACTATAACCTCATATTTCATAGCTAACTGAAATAAATAATGTTTTTGCGAAATCCAGCTTGACCAACAAAGCGGCAGTAAAGTGCAGTCGAAGCAGTCAAACCTCGGTAAATTCTTTTGTGAGCCAATCAAGAAATGAATCCGTGGCGTATTCATAGAATAATGATTGGTAAAAAGCAGTTAGATTAACAACTTCTAATACATAGAAAAGACAGTGCGTTTTTGTAACACTACGTTCCAACAATGGTTTTTTTGTCATGTTGTTTAGCAAGAAAAGTATAAACTAATATTGTTGTTAGTCTAAGTACTGAAAGTATAGTATGAAATGTATAGACAACAAAACTGGAAAAATATTTGTTGATTTCTAAATTTAGAATCTCCGTTGATTAAAGTGGTTTGTTTTTTATTAAAAAACGTTGTTGATATAACAGAAAATAGCTTAATTCCGAAACGATTTAAGTTTAAAATTGAATCGATATTTTTACTTTTATGATAAATTTTATGCAATTGGTTCTAGGCTAGGTGATCCAAACACTTACTACACTTATAAGGTTTCATGCACCCCCCTCACACGATCCCCTTTCACTCCCGTCACTAAAATCTTTATGGCCAGACACAAATCGAACTATTTTATCTGGATAAATGCATTTTGGCTTTTATGACTCCTCCTATTTCGAAAAAAAAAAAAAATCAAGCGCGATGTGACGTGACACACAGGCTTTAATATAGGTTAGATTTCATTTACTTTCGTTTAAGATTTCACTATAATGAATGCAGAAATTTCTAGATATACAAAGATCCTTACTTTTTAACAGTAACTGTTACGTCTCTGGTCGTCAGTTAATTTTCCGAAAAAATTCTTGCCGAAGAACTTTAGCGATACAAGTCCTTTCTTAAATAATACTGGTTTATTCTTTCTGAATACAACTTTGCAATACACTTAATTTTCACAGTCACGCTATAACAAACGCTATAATTCACAACGAACGCCTCACGTGCTCGACTCAACAATATGTTTCTCTCTGTCCGCAGTTCAATTACATTCTTGCCGTCACGTCTTGACCGTCTTATATATAAAAGAATACCGAAATACTCGAGCATTCAGGAAGGGACAGGATCTTTCTAGAAGTTCATGACCTGTTACTAGCGTCACGTGACTTCCGCTGTCGTAACATAACAATTCACAGCTGACGAATGGCATAAATAAACGGTCGAATTATTAGAGCTCACCAATCCTGTCTCTGCCAAATATCCTGTTAAGTTCCATGTTGAAAAATTGATGTTTCGTGAAGATTCCTTTGTTCAATTAAATATATTCAGTATAAATGAACTATATTTCTAATATGTACTGTAGTACCCAATAACGTGTAAAATTGACACTCGTAATATTCTATCATTTTCAAGTATATGCATTCTATCTAATGATGAAACTCAAATTATTCCTCAAGTAACAACCGAAGAACACTAAAAAAAAAAACATTAAAAAGTGAACAATTAGAACATTGGCCAAAGAGCTGAGTTTCTTACACTTGTTCAGATTTCTTGATCTCAAACCTCCTAGTGCTACTTTATCATTGGCCAAATGTCATATTTGCCCAGTTGGGATCTAACTTTTCATAAATAAATGTTTTTCAATGCTCAGAGTTTGTTAGTTGTTTACATAAGCGTGTAATGTCTGTATTCAGTTGTTTAAAACTGTTTATTTTGTTCTGAAATGAAAATAATCCGTTCACTAAGAAGAGCTGCATATTAGAATCCTGTCCGTTTTCAATTTTCACTGAAACATAAAAAAATACTTGGACGGTGTCCATCCTTAACCTTTATTAAGTTCATATTAGTTGAATTCATGTACAAAGAAGCAAACCCTGAAAGCTGAACTTATTAGAAAAGCCAATAAAAGTTTTCCAGTTGTTAATCGGTGGTCAAGTAGTAGTTAACTTTCAATTAATAACTCGTTTTCATAGACAATACACAGTAAATTTTCTCATACAAGTAATGTTTGTTTTTTTAGATTTATTATAAGATATTATTATTTTTTCTATGTATACGAAAATTAGTATGCAGTTGGCAGAATGTGTTGTTATTTTATTTTAAATATTATCATAATACCTGTAGATCCTTATATCAAAACATTTGGAAGACCACCTGCTATCACTGCAGCCAGGGGAAACGTTTTGGAAGTTCTGGATACAAAGGTAACTTTGTAATATATCCGAAATTGGGTCCATTACTTGAAAGCATCATAAAAGTATACAAGCTTGTCCGTTGTACATCAGATTTAGACAATTTTTCGTGCATGTTCTAGTGTTATTAATAATATACTTCTTACAATGTAACATATCTATGTTGTACACTGCACATCTTTGAGTGATATGATGCCACTTGCCACAAACATGACGTTACGACATCCTTTCTGTATTATTTGAGATCATTGAGTGAAAATAGCCTACTTTCACAAACTAGCAGTTTATAAAACCACATAAGTGATGATTAAATGAATTCGAGTTTAACCTTAACATTTAAGCAGCAAAATAAGAAAGTGCACCATATATACGTTAACAGTGGCGAAACGTTGTTTTATTTAATATTTTTCTATCCCAACAAGACCATATATTGAACCATTTTAATTACTAAAAAATTTTATTCCTCCGTAGAAGAATATAAATATGAAATCTAAATGAAATTTATTGCATTGGTTTAAATATAAGCGGCAATGAGTTAAAATGGGTTTACCTATCAATCTTGTTGGGTGCCCCCCCCCAGTGGCACAGCGGTATGTCTGCAGACTTACAACTCTAGAATCTGGGTTTTGATACCCATG